CAACTTCCAACAATCAATTCACAGCAAACGATGTATCACATAGCATCAGCAGAAAACCTCGGGACTCGGTACACACTTCGTGAAAATCCGGCCGGAGGCTGTACCTCTTATGACGTCATAACTCCGTGACCTGACCTGACCCGGTCAATTTTCTTGCACCACACGATAGCCAATGCTTGCCCCAACATGCATGGGAAGTTTCATCATGATCCACCTAACAATGTGGGTATCACCGGCAGAAAACCTAGGGATTCGGCGCACACGTTTGGTAACTGTCGGCCGGAGGCTGTACCTCTTATGACGTCATAACTCCGTGACCTGACATGACCCGATCATTTTTTTTTCGGCAAAAGATGCGCAAAGGTTGCCCCAGAGGGTATTGAAAATTTCAGCCCGCTACGACAAGCCGTTTAGCGTGCACTTCGAAAAAACCTCAGGGGGGGGGGGGTTGATACAACCCCCCCTAGGCGTTCTAGGGTTAAATTTCAAGACAAATGTGTAATTTTGCTGCGGTCTGGTTTCACTTTCCAAGCCGCAAAACTGAAACTTATTTTAACCTTAGGATGAATGATGTACCGGTGAAAAGTTATTAGGCTTTGTCAGCTCAGAGCTCATAAGCCTTTTGTTAATTTGGAGGACGTGAGCAAGCGATTTGTCAGGGAAATCACTGTGTCAGCGTCCAGCGAACGCATTTTAGGCCCAGCCTGAGTGGTTTACGAGGAAAATTCGTGCGATGTGACGCATGCTTTGCCACTTATATGCTACAACATTTGCACATATTATATACTCCTTTTTGAGATAGTTAATGCGTACTGATTTGAAAGCAGAATCAAAATGCATGGTTATATTCAAATAATCATGCATATGTTTGTGATGTTAACCAGTCTTGGAACCATGAAGCGATGCAGATGAGTCCCAGTAAAAATGATTCAATAATAGGGATTCAATAACAAGGTTTATTTTGTCACGCATCTTTACAACATATCAACATGCGTACACAGATGCATGCAGTGTTCGCTTTCTCGGGCGACAATTCTGCGGGAGCTGCAGGTTCGGCCGGTTCGAGCCACCGGTGGCACGTCCCCGGCCATTCTCAGGCCCGCAAATCATGGCTCCATTGAAATCCCATTTCGGGCGCGTTTCTCGTCGGAAATGAAATACGGCTAGGCCGCCGACGGCAGCCGAAAAGCAGCTAAGGAGACACCGCTCCACGTGAGAGCGGCTTAGCGCCACGGAGACGAAATAAGGACCGTAGTTAATGTGCTGAAAAGCTTCCTTGCTCAGAAATTAGGTTACCATAATTTGATTTAACGTTTTATGCAGCACCCAAAGTGAGCTTTTCATCCATCTTTTAGAGGACATCCGAGCTGTTTTCCCGAGGTTTTTTGCTGCGTTGGAAGCAAAATATTCCTTATACGAATCAATGACTATGAAAAAGGAACAAAGACAATAAACACAACTGTCACACAAAGACATCCAAATTCCTCATAGGCAACAGCATGCTTGCCTTGCAGTTTCCATTACTTTGTTCGAAGTGTGAAGTTAGGAACCTCTCATCTATTGCGTTAGTGAGAGCTTCATATCGTGTGTTCGTTCGGCGTTCCCTATATCAGCCTTGGAGCGGCTAAACAAATAATACAAAGAAAGAAGCGGAACTTTCATGACGTGTTTTGTGCCAATATCGCCCTGCTTTGATTTGCGATGGACGTACCGCTGTAATAACACGCTGAATTGCGGCGGCGAGGGCGTTAAATAAGCTAAACCGTCCGAGTTTCCAACCATTGCTCACCTGAAAACGAGGCACTTTGACATGTGGGGTCCGCTTCGCTTCACGCATTTCTCAAAGCAAGTAAAAAATGCTAAGTGCCAAAGGACCTTCGAATGGCCCTAAATTATCAGTCACTAGGCCAATACAAAGTATTTGCTTAATGGCTAGCATCACTAAATATTTGCTAAGTCTAGCATAGCTTCGGCTTCATGAAAATTTACTCATATTAACCCGCGCCCAGATGGGGTCTGCCGAGCAACGCGGTCTGATGGGGGGGGGGGGGCCATTTTGGCCCCCCCTCAGATCTCGAGAACCACGCAACATAGCGACAAGCGGTAAACGGTGTTGGATAGCCCCAACGGGGAACTACCTTGTGACCCAATTTCATTGACCTCGGTCAAACCGATGACGTCACAGGTCAGGTCAAAGGTCGAATTTTCAACGTTTACAGGCATTTCAAGAAATGCGTTGTAAAATCGAGTAAAATGCATTTCATTGAAAATCATCGGTGGAGAAATGTTCTTCAAACACATATTTTGCTATTTGAGGTCATTGATACCAGGTCAGGTCACAGAGGTCAGGTCACTGGGGGGGTCACAATATGAAAGTGTCGTGTGATACATGTTTTATGGTCCATTTTACATGACAAAGGCGATGATGTGGGTCAGACAGACTTTAGGGCCAGCTTAGGTCACGTTTTGGTCAAGGTCAGGTCAAGGTCAGGTCAAGGTCAGGTCAAATTAGGTCAAATTTCAAAGTTGATATTTTTGCATAAAATGGGTATCGATTCGATGCAGCTCGTCACGGGGAGTTCAATGGTGGTCTCCGTTTTGCGCTACGAGGTCTAGAATTGCTAAAATTGAGTTCAAAAATTTGACGTCATCAATTTTTAACAGTTTTTTGCTATAACTTGGCCAAAAAAAGAGGTATCGATCTAAAATTTGGTATGTATATCGAAGAGCGTAGGGACTATCACATATATTCCGTTTTTTTTTCGAAATTCGAAAAAAATTCGGAAATTTTTTGAGTTTTTCTAAAAAAAATCAATTTTTTTGATTTTTGGGGTCAAAATCCCAAAATTTCGAAAATCCGAGATAGCAGTTTTGTAGCGCCGTGTTTTCTCTACACAGCCACATAAAGAACTTTAAAATTGCTTGTTAAGTGTAGAATTGGTGAGCGTTTCAAGATGTCATGTTTTTTGCTCATTTTTGCTCGAACATGACCTCAGTTTGACCTCAATAACTCCTGACCTGAGGTGACCTGTGACTTGAAATTTTGTGTGAAGGTGTCAAATTGATGCCCGGTAAGGTACCCAAAATTTGGCGGCGCTGCGCGCCGCCGTTTTCCTCGCTATTTAAGAAAAACCACAGGGGGGCCAAAATGGCCCCCCCATCAGGGCGCGGGTTAACTTTTTTAAAGAAAGCATTAGCCAAAATTTCTGAGTTTCACCATATACATATGATGTGGTACTTACATATGTGGCGTCAAACTACGGGCTAGTGACGTCAGTGAGACGCTCTTTCGTTGCCTTGACCGCACTTAAGCTACAGCATGCTGAGCATCGTTTTGGCTCAATGACAATAAAATTGCGTCAATGGTTCCTAACCCTGAATATCTCTCGTCCTGAGGTCCTGAATGTTTCTAAGTTTATCATCGTTCTTTGCTTCCTAATTTATTTTATTCTTTAATTGCGACCGAGGGATTGAAGTTAAATTGCTTCTTTATTCGTGATGCATTGTGTGAAAAAATAAAACTCATATCAACATCCTACTGCACAGCACAGTGTTGCATTCTTAATTCCTAAATTGTGTTTCTTATAAGTGATATTTAACTTCTAAAATGACTAAGAGAGCTTAGCAATATTTTATCCTAACTTGCACACTACAGCATGTTGAAGTTTGTTTTTACTGTTCCTAAAATTCCCATCTCTCTGATATTTTTTTTTAACGCACAGCTATATAGTCTTCAAGACAGTCGATGAAGGAGCTTCAGGCACCATTGATAAGCTTTATGTTTGCGCTATGGAACAAACCACAACTCTGCAATGGTCAGTTACCAGTGAGCCTGCAATAATGTAGAATGCGAAACTTGTGAACCATGTGACGGGTCAGATATAAAACTTGAAAAAGTGAACAAGATTTTGGATACTCGAAAACCATCCATGTATGATAGGTGTCGTAGTCATTGACTTGTCGAGTACAGTCAGTGTTACTGCAGCAGTGGAGTTCCAATGCTCACTGCTCACACATCACCGTCGAGTTGAGCTGCTGCAGGCACTCCCCCACTCCAGTGTCCTCTCTAGTCTCTCAGTGGTGATAACTCAACGCGGTGCCGACGAATACCAACGGGTGCCTCGCGTCCCGCAGCCGTCTCCAGAGTCGCGCGACATTTCACCGGAGCTCCCATTCATCCCTCCATACATTAACACGTGATAAATGGCCTTATTTTCTCGGCCGCGTCCGTCCGCGCCCTGCTCATTTGCCTGCAGCAGTGAGGCGCGGCGGCGGCCGGCGCTTCAGCAGCCCGGGCCGGTGACGCGCCGGCCCGCTCCGTTCGCTCGTCTCCTCCACAGCTAAGCTCCAATCTGCCATTGGCTCGTTCCCCGGGGCGGGATACGGGCCCATTCGAGCTGATGCGATTGACATGACACCGGCCAGCCGCCGGAATGGGAAGGGAGAACGAGGAAGAGAGGGAGGAGGGGAAGGAAGGGAGGAAGGTCGAGCTGTGACGACTGGACTTATCGATCGATGCTGCTAGAGATGATAGCGCTGGGCGTTAAACATTCCTTGCAGGTTTGGATTGTGGGGCTTAACTGAGCAAGGTGTTTTGTCGTCAGTGAGGAAATGACACGCAACAGTCAATAGCGACGATGTGCGTCAAGTGTCTATAACAATCAATGCTGCTTATGCGCGTTACTTAGATGTAACAATGCTGTTCTTGTCCGGGGAACAGCTGTTGCTCTCGCTGCAGGTGCATTGAAGTCGTTCGGCCGACTTGAACTGAAGTGGGAATCGTGGCGTCTCCTTTGACCGTCCCTGTAAGACCTTTCCCCGCTCATAGGGTTTGTAGCGTCCCTGTCTGACCTTTCCCTCTCCCTGGCTGCAGGGCTTGTGACGCCTGTCTGTCCCGTCCCTTTCGTTGATATGGTTTAGTGCATCTCTTGTAATACGTCCCCTCCACTTTCTGCAGAGCTCGTGACGTTTTCTTTGACCGTCGTCTCCTCTTTCTGCAGGGTACGTGGCGTCTGCAGCAGAAGACGAGGATGCCGCCCCCGTCCAGCTGCCGGATGCACCGGAGTTTGACCTGGTCCACTCGGCCAACAAGACAGCCACCGTGGGCGGGTCGGTCATCCTCAACTGTCGCGTGCGTCACATCGGATCACTAACGGTAAGTACAGCCCAACGGAAGGTTCTTCACAGCTATCTGGCGCTCAGGTGAACACGCATCCCGAAGGAGCTGACATACTCCTATACCTGAATAGATAAAGGTGTGGACAAGGGATTATTGTTCTGCATTCGGTGCAAAGCTTGCCTCTGTGCGAAAGCTGCTAAAGTTTATTATGTATGAAAGTACGAATACTCATGGACATTCTTGTAAGTAACAATGGGTGTAGCTTCTATGGCCTCATGGGATGCCATAATCATTGACCAACTCATGTAGCTCGCTTCCGGATTGATCAATAGTGCGTGTAACAATGGCCAAATTTAGATGGCTCTCAGCTTGCAGTCATCTCTTATGACTAGTATAATTACGTGGTCACTGGAAGAAGATACACATGCATGGTGACCATCAGCCAGTGTATAATAAAAACAAAATAATAATAATCAGTGGTATGCGCTCAATTATTTTGCAGCGCATTTGCTTTTACATTTGGAATAGTTTCTTAAGGTTAGATCGCAGCATGGGAGTCTCGTTATTGATATCTCGTTATTGTAGAAAGATTGTTGCTCGTTACTGAAGCACGATTTTTAGCTATCACATAAAATTCATCCATTCTTTTAATTTTGAAAATGCAAACCTATGCTCATCATCATAGTCACGTCATTCCCATAATGCCGGTAATGCTGATATCCGCTTTGAGTCCGGATACCGCCGGGCCCACATCCGCTTCCGGTTCATTGCGCGCCGCGACATCCTATTCTGCGGAGGCGATTGACGCTATCTGCTGCCGTACGCGCCGCTGCCCCCAAACGACGGTCTGCAGGACGGCCTGAGGAATCGGCCGCGTTCCACAACGCTTCGGGCGTGGTTTTAGGGATGGACTGTTGGTGTGTAGGTGTGGACCCCCTTTGCTAAATCGGGAACCTCCCTATAGTAGGTGCGCTCGTGTCCGTAGTAGAGGTTACTACGACTGTCTCTTTTCGGCGGAAAAATCGGGCCCTCGGTGACAGTTGTGTGGTATGAACCAGTCTTCAGTAGCTGTTCCCTGTCACTATCTCCTCGGCAACATGGTGTGGTGAAAACCGGCCTTCAGCAGCTCTGTTCCCAGTCACAGTCACTCGACTTCACTTGTGTGGTATGTCCAGTCAACCTTCACCAGTCGCCACCTCTGACCAGGGCCTCGTTTCATAAAAGGAATTACTTACGGCGTTCCGTCAATTATGCCAGATTTGGCGTATTTGATGCCAATTCGGTTTCATAAAGCCGGAGACCGGAGTAATTCACGCCATCGAAATTACGGAGCTTCATTTACGGCAAATGCTCGATTCCGGACCAATTGATGCCATCTGGGTTTCATAAAACGACGTAATTAACGCCAAATATTTTATCAAGCTCTTGATATCAGTGGTGTAAACTACGCACAAAAATGTTGCGTGATTTTGAATTAATGTGAAGATTGGAAGCTAATTTTCAATATATTTTATAATGTTGAGCCCGGTGAGGAAGAAAGAACAGCCAAAATGAGAAAAAGAAACTGCAAATCTTCTGTATCAGTCGCTTTTTGTGGCCACTATCGGAATTTTGTTTATTCGCCGCGCCGCGCCACTTTCGTAGTTAGGCACTTCCGCTTAGCTGGCTTTCTGCTGTTTTTAATATATTGTTTTAATAAAGGATGGTCATCAATATCAATTTTGTTTTTTTCATAAATAATTTTTAAGATTTAAATTCAACATAATTGTTTTATAAATTCTCGTAAAAAAATAAGTGTTGACATGAAATTGTAATTTGTAGGACACTTGATAAATTACGGTAACTACGCAAATGTGCTTAGTTACGGAGGTGTAAACAATTCCAGTTGTGGCTTTGTGAAACGGATTTATTTGCGCTCCGTAGTTTGAAAGGGTGTGAATTACGGAAAGGTGTAAGTTACGGCAGAGTTTTATGAAACGAGGCCCAGATCGCAACAGCGGCCGTTTCGTGGTGTGAACCAGCCTTCACCAACCGAACCCGCTGACCGGCTCGGCCACAGCGACCGGAGTCAGAGCCTCGACCAGGTTCCCGGGCCGTAAAGAAGCGCCCCGAGGCGATACTGTCACTGCATGAGAGGATGCAGCTGTATTTTACACCACCGAGAAGAGATGTGTCCTGTAAATTGTTGGGTCTCGAGCTCCGGAGGCTACCATCGCTCGATAAAATGGCGCCCTAAATATGGCCGGTGACGCGCTGTATTCGGAGACACAATACAAAATCGGAGCGGGTATCTGGCAGGAAGTCAAAGGAATGCGAGATGGGTGGCTGAATCCTGTCGACTACTCGACTGACAGCTTACTGTAAAATGAAAAGTAGGCGCTATGCGTTGAGCACTGGCGTTTGAATTTACACCATGCCGACTAGGAATCAAAGACATACATTTCACACATTGAATAAAAATATAATTATCTATGCTATTGCGATATCAAAGTTATTAGCTCAGCGGTTAATAGTTTCGCTCTAGATATGATGATGGCAGACCTTTGACTCTCGCCAGCACATATTATTTTTCTTGCGTAACATCATCAGATCTATTCATTCCTGTTTTCGAGGCACAGTACCCCGGTGAACTGAGTTTTCAACGATTTTAGATCCAGGGTCGGTAGGGGTAAGAGAGAGAGAGAGAGAGAGAGAGAGAGAGAGAGAGAGAGAGAGAGAGAGAGAGAGAGAGAGAGAGTGAGAGAGAGAGAGAGAGAGAGAGAGAGAGAGAGAGAGAGAGAGAGAGAGAGAGAGAGAGAGAGAGAGAGAGAGAGAGAGAGAGAGAGAGAGAGAGAGAGAGATGGAGAGAGAGAGATGGAGAGCGAGATGGAGAGAGAAAGAGAGAGAGGGAGAGAGATGGAGAGAGACAGAAAGAGAGAGGGAGAGAGATGGAGAGAGAGAGCAAGAGAGAGAGAGAGAGAGAGAGAGAGAGAGAGAGAGAGAGAGAGAGAGAGAGAGAGAGAGAGAGAGAGAGAGAGAGGGGGGAGAGAGAGAGGTTATGCAGCGGAAAAAATGCATCTGTGCGCGGCACCGCCTGTTGCAGCTCGGTGATGCCCTGTGCATATCTCAGCACTTATATCTCCATTTGCTCGGCAATGAATATTGATGGAAGTAAATGTGTGTTCGGGTCGTTGCTACCGCTCTATCCAAAGGCATTTTTGGTCCGATTCCTGAGACGGAACTCTGGGAATGTCGGCGGCGGTAGGCTCGGTAGCCTGTAAAGGAGGCATTCAGCGCTGAGAAGGAAAATGATATACACGCAATATCATTATAAGCATGAAGAGCATTATGTAACAAAAGCGAGCGTTGCTTGAGTACTGAGTAGGTCTACATAGACAGACTGCGTTTTCCAAATAAGACGTATGAGATTACACTACATGCTATAGAAACGCGGACGGCCTGCCATCGTCAAAGTATGTTTGCCATTGGCTATTACATAACCTCACAGGCACCTGTAGTAGGTGAGGGTTGTCACTCCTTCACATATTTTCTGTGCTAATACGTGACATTTTCAGAGATAGAGGTCTGATTTTTCTTGTAACGTTTTTTTGTCATTTATGTCGACGCTCGCTGAAAATGTCAAGGATCTGTGTCATTGGCTTTTGAGGTCTAGCCTTTTTCTTCAAGTCATGTCTTGACCCAAATGGGTAATGTCCCATGCTTTGTTGGCTGGGGTTCTTGTGAACTATTGAAGCCTTTATTGCTGGTTTTGTTCAATAAGTTTCACCAACAAAACTCCGCCAGAACCTGTTATTGTATCCACTGTAAAACGTCGCTGATATTTCTAAGAATGTTTTCATTTAAGGTGTTTGCCAATGCGACCGAATACTTCGTTGCTCATAAAAATACCAACACTCCTTACGAACCGGCAGGGCAGGTGACGTGGGGCCATCGATTGGTAAATGTGTGGTATTTACCCAGCTAATTGGTCCATACATGTGCCGGCAGGTATCCTGGGCACATGAGCTGCAGGTGCTGGCCAATGGAATGCACGTGTTTGCCGACCCACGCCGGTTCAAACCGCTGCACCAAAAGTACAGCGACGACTGGAGTCTGAGGATCCGTTCGGTACGACCGTCAGACGCCGGATTGTACCTGTGTCAAGTCGGAACAACACCGCCCATCGCTCACTACCTCTATCTGACCGTTATCGGTGAGTACAGGGTATCTACCGAGTATCGAGTACCGAGTATCGAGTACCGAGTATCGAGTACCGAGTATTGAGTACCGCGTATCGAGTACCTCTCTCAGTTCTGAGCACTGAGTTCTGAGGAACGTGTACCGAGCACTTAGTACCGAGTACCGAGTACGGAGTACCTATCTGGCCTTAGGTCGTCAGAACTAGCGGAATGTGCCTGAAATGTCTCGTTAGTGGAATAAATGTCTCGGTATCGGAATTCCCCTATCTGGCAACGAGCCCTATGTAAACGGGGCTATTAGACGCGTTTACATAGGGTTTGTTGCAAACTTATATCTCCGTCCGTGATGTTGCAAAAGATGCCAATGGTGCTTAACAATTTACAAAATGATCCCCTCTAAATATTTGAAGAACACTGCATCGAAATTATCGCCAAATTAACGAGCTAGAGCCTCGTCAAATATGCTATGTAAACCGGGTTATTGATGGACTTCAGCGAGTGCCAGTCGCCACTGATTTTCACAACTCGGTTTTCCTCGTCTGTTTTAAGTGGATGACTTCTATGTTCGAATTACCGCTCTTTCCGTCACAACTGCGGTGCATGTCTACCAAGTCTCGATCCGAGGCCTGCACCGGGCATTAGGTGCTACATTTTTCTCTTTGATCAATGAATCTGACGGACACTCGCGTCCAATTGCATCGAATCAGACGTCAGCGCAAATAACAAAAACAGGACGGGGCAAAGGAGCCGTTCGACCGATACCAACAACAAAAAGTGACACTCTAAGTTTTCCCACTCGCGGTGATTAAAACTTGCCCGTGCCGCTGCACTAGACAGTTGGACAGTTAGTGTGCCTTCTGGCTACTGAAGGTCTAATGGTCCAAACTACAGGCCCATAGAGGATGGTTCATTCTCAGCAAAGTGTAGTTGTATTGTGCAGGTCAGGGCATTGCCACCGATAATTTTGAAATGTTTCGCACTTTACTGCAAAGTTTGGGCATTTCTCTCATATGAAATTAACTAAATAATGTCTACATCAATAAACTTTCGAAATAAATGAAAATTGCATTGCTTTACGTGTGTAAAAATTTAAATGGTATATCGCAGTTAAAAGCCTATTAACGTCTGCTAAGTAAGTACCGCATACCGTAATAACGTAAGTACCGATATGTCATATTAGCAGAGCTGTTTTAGCACCGCAGCTCCACTTAGACCCAGAACAGGCCCCATCACTCGACGTCCGACAGACACATGATGGCGTCACTGGTCCGACGTCTCTGATTGGCTGATTTCCTGCGGCCGGCGATTGGCTGAGTGCATGTCGCTGTCGGACCGCTTTCGCTGAGGCGTACTTCCGCTAACGCAGCAAAATCGGCGGACGGTTGAAAACTAGCTGAGCTTCTTAGAAATGTCATTGCTTTTTGTGATTTGCAACGCAACGAAATGGAAAGTCTTACGCAAAACGCAACGATAAACGAAGACAATGACTTCTTCAAGTTACACAATTACATCGTCTTGAGTCCATGCATTTTTTATGTTAGCTTCTTTAGCTAAGCGCACACAGCTTTCCGTTAACGCCATTGTTTTCCATATCTGTGGCTTTGTTTTTATTCGGCCACCCAAACCACGCATCGATAATGGCTTGGGCCGGCGCTTTGACAAGCCGAGCTGCATCGGCGGTGCTCGCTGTCAAAACACTGCGGTTCTGGCTGCCCTATAAGTGTGCTTGTGTGCCGGTGTGCCTGTGACAATCGTCACGGCCGTTCGACGCAGCCTTTCACCTGTCTATGGGGTACCGATGATGAGGTCCGCTGTAATATGCCCGAACGGTGTTGGCAGCCATTTTGTGTTTCTGATGATGTGTGACCCGTAATGCGTCGTCAGTCGACAACAACAGATGACTGATAACGCCATTTGGCTGCGGCGATCGGTAGGTATAGTTCCAGGGAATCGCCATGCGATTGGATCGTTTCCCGACGATTAGAAGCTGAGGTCGTGTTTCGTGGCTGATTTTCCGTCTTTGTGACTTGGCAGGTCGATTGTTAAGGTTAATATGGTTCTGAGTATGATAACTTGTAAACATAGCTGCGATATTATGGGAAACAGTCATATGATTGTATATGAGTCAGTCTATTCTTCTGAACATGAGTCACCAATACAATTAACCTGCGTTTTTTCATGCACCACATATCAAATGCACCGCACGTGCATTGTGCAATGTGAAATGTACATGCGAAAAAATAGATACAGGCATCCATCATAACCCGTGCGATAAATGCCCTCTCCCGGGGTATTCAGCCGATCTGATTATTGAATCAATGACAGCCGATGTATGTCGGTCGTGCCCTCTGGTGCTGTCTCCGGTGTGAGTTATGCACTGCGACTAATGGTGCAGTGATTAGCGCCACTTTAGCCGCGTCTCCGCGATGGCCAGTGCCGCCGGCCCTTCTCGCAGCCCCGTCGGACGTCGCTCTCGACAGCACGGATCGATTGACCCAGCAGGCCTGTGAGATGAGTTACCCAACTCGGCCCATTTCGGCCAGCCAGCCTCCCTCGCCGGCCTGGCTCTATCTGCGGTGGGAGGCAGGCATCGGCCGCTTCACCGGAGCTGACCGCCGCGAACGGCGCCAATTACAGCTCGGAGCAGCCGCCGGCCGAATAGAGAGCACCTCCGAAACTCCGTCGAGAGTCGTTGAAAGCATCGAATGCCAAATATGCCTCCCCGAAGAAAAACTTGGAGTAGGTGACTTTGTTTTCGCACGGAGCTCGAAGGCTGAGACCGACATTCAGGCGGCCGAGAGTCCAAAAGTGGTGAGCAGTACGAATAAGGACACCAACTGCCAACAGACGGAGTTTTGGCCCCAACTTCCTGCATAATGAGCCGCCTCAGGTCGTGGAGGCACGGCAGTGCGGCCCAGGCGCGCCTCTGATCTCCTGTATCGGTGACAATTAAGAGCCACCCCGAGGTCGGCGCCGGCAATCTCAACTTGTGATCTGATCAACAGCAGCCAAGTTGCCGGGTGCCTCGTCTGTAGAGGGCTCGACGCGACCCGACACTATTCCGGTGACAATCAGCTCGAGTCGTCGGCGGAAAAGTCAAGGTCAGGTGGGCCTTCGATTTATGCCAGCTAGGCTCATAACCGGGGCAGTAAATTGGTCTCACGGCAGATCGGACGTGCTGCACTACGCCAGCCTGATGCAGTGTCAGTCCTGAAAGCGTTGCAAATATTCCTGGGTGCCTTCGCTTGGCTCGGAACTCTTCTATTATATTTAGCTACGAGGCACTGGTTCTAGGCAACAGGGTATCCCTGGTTTTCCGTTAATAGAAGGGCGAACTTATACCCTCCATTTATGCCTGCCATATAGACTATAACAAAAATACATTACGTGGCATGTCATGCTGACATATACGCCATTTGTCTTATATGTTCGCTATAGGCTCCGCAAATATCTTTCAGATATTTAATGCAGATAACTAGAAATCCCTTTCAAAAAGAGATGGAAATGTAATATCAGTATTGTGCAGATAAGTGATAACCTTGGTGAGCAATACTATTCTCACACATGTAAGTACGACACCGTTCACATGCTTCCTGCAATAACATTATGTATGTCAGCTTTAGATCGAGCTTTTCAACAAGATTATTGAATGTAGGTACATACCTACTTACTGTAATGTTGTGTCCAATGTAGCTTCTGTAAATTTTTGTAATATAAGGATCTGTTTTCAACGATTCAGAATCTACATAAAATAGGGTCTCAAGGCCGATTTACTGTCACTCGGCTCACAGTGGATCGTCACCGCACGGCTAATAGCGTCAGCGTCACTCGTGAGACCGTCACCGTAGGTGCCAACTGAACAATGTGGACGATGCTCCGAGGAAATGTGTGTTTGATTCTGGTTGCCATTGATTCGTCACATTTTTATGCATCCAACTCACTAGATACTCCTTCTCACTATACATACATCATACTCACAAGTCACACATATGCTTATTACCTAATCATTAGATCCTAGGGCTACCAGTAACCCTTCAGGCAATTAGTGTTAAGTCTAGCTAATGTTGAATTCAGCTAATTGAACCTACATGATAAATTCGTGGTGGTTTGAATGGAAGTTAAAGGTAGTGTGCCACCTTTGAAAGATTTCCCATTTTATTTTTCCTAGGATAAGAAGCTTCTGTTTTTACCTAATATCGCAAAAAAAAAATCAAAAATGGGCCTGGAATAGTGCCTTTTTCGCCTAAAAGTTTATCGGTTTTTCGATATGTATAACAACTGTAGTGGGCTGACCTGCAAACAGGCGTCGGCAGCAATCGCGAATGCGGCGCACATGTGACAATAAGCAAAGGTCATTATAGAGTTACGACGTACGGGAATGAGTTATCAGCTGTCTAATCGTAGACAACACAATGTCGAGCCTTAAACTGTAAGCCTGTAGTGGTATTGTTTCTTTTATTTGGCTGTCGAGCATTATTTATGGTTTGAAATATGATTTTATGTAAAATAATTGATATGAAAAAGCCGTCTCTTAAGTTATGACCCCATTTCACCACACGCAAGTGGCAGAAATGACAATGATCAGCTGACGCATTTTTCTTGGCCGAAGTCAGAGCGCGCGGCCCGACGCACCACCACCGCACCACAAAGTATGAGCAGAAGCCGCGCCCAAAGCCAGGGCCCCGGTAACGTGAGGTAGCCGAGTCGGGGCAGCGTGCGCTGACCCAAGCCGGGGCCGCAGCTTTGGGCGCGGTCTACCGCATCCCCGCGGGCAGCCCCGGGCTATCACATGACACCGGGAGGACGCGCGGCCCCGGCTTGGGTCAGCGCACGCTGCCCCGACTCGGGTACCTCACGTTACCGGGGCCCTGGCTTTGGGCGCGGTCTACCGCACCACCTAACAGGCGTGTTCGAAACCGCAGGAGATGATGATGAACGGGTTTATCGAAACTTGATTGGATGAGCATATCGGTAATAGCGATTTCAGTGTGTGCATTTATTGTTCATAGTGGTG